ATACGGCCAAGTAACATAACTAGGCTCATAAACATGACTTTAAGACAGGAAACTTAATAGAGAAAGAACAAACAGCAGCCAGGAGGTCTCCTCTATCCTAAAGAAAACGAGGAGGGAGAAAAAACTAATATGGAAAAAGTTACTAAAGAAATTCGTGAAAACATCCAACCATAACAACTGCACATAGCAGTTAAGGCGATCAGGAAGATGAAAGCGGAGGGAATCTGCATCAGAGTGGGAGACAAGACAGATGGAAAAAAGATTAAAAGAGGCCATTGAGGCACTCCCAGGAATGAGTGAAAAAATAATTTGTAAAATTTGCTTTATACAGACACACTACGGTGAGTTTTTTCAAAATACTTGGCAGATTATTCATCTCTTTATTCAATTTGTAAAACGTCAGAGGGTAGAAGATCCCGCATCATCTTATTCGATGTCCCAAACGCTGTATCTGACGATGACATCATCCGGGTGATGACTGAACAAAATAAAATATGGAACAATGCCGATACAGAGGAAGTATCTAGAACACTAGCAGGGTTAGTATCACATTAAAAAAAAGGAACTAACAGGGAGAACTGTAGACATGTGGTGCTCTCCGTGTCACCAAAAACCCAGAACACCCTCATCTTGTAATGACATATCTCCACTGCCTGGACAAACATTTATGTGGAAGATTTTATACCCATGACCAGGTGCTTTAAATACACTTGCTTTGGGCACCTGGCACATGACTACTCGGGAGAGCAGAGATGTAGTCATTGCACTAGACATCATCACTTTAAGGAATGTGAACTCAGACACGAAACTCCTGTATGCATAAACTGTAAGAAATTTAATCATGGGCAGCCTGAACATAAAAAGAGGCATATACATCACAACACATTAAGCAGCACATGTCCGACCTTACTAAAACTAAAGGAACAATCGATAAACACCACTGATTATGGATATTGACCTTTACAACTTGTTAACCTCAAGTACACCAACAGTCAAGCTACTAATCCCACACCTGTCTGCACAGAGGCTCTGCTGAACATTCTACAGATCAATACCCAACACAGCAAGGCAGCCAGCTCTCTTCTTATTAAAACTGAACAACAGGAAGATTGACATGGTCCTCATTCAAGAGCCGTACATAATTAACAATACTATCGTACGTTTTGGCAACTGGAACATTCTCATGGGCAGCAAAGATACTAAGCCGAAAAGTGGCATCGTTATCTGCTACCCAAATTTGGACATTGCAATGATCCCTCATCTTAGCTTGAGCAGAATTACTACCGTGATACTGCACCAAGCTAATCCTATAATATTTATCAGTGCATTCTTTTCTCTGGAAGCCAACAACAACAACGAATGCATAATGGAACTAACAGAGGTGATTAGAAAAATAGATAACAGGAGACTGGTCATTGCAGGTGATTTGAATGGGAAATCAGCAATCTGGTTCCATGAAAAGGAGGACAGGAGGGAAAGGATGATAGCCAATATGATGGGCGAATTCAACCTCATATCAACTAATATGACTACCCACCCCACTTTCTTCACTCTGCATGCCAGAGGCTGGACTGATGTCTGCCTGGTCTCTGAGAATATGTCCCACCTCATTGAGAACTGTGAGACGCTTCTCTACCCGTCGGCCACAGGTATATTGTCACCCAAATCAGCAAGATTACCAAATCAAACAACAGGGACCCTTCCTTCCAGACCAAACAAACCGAGACATCTATAGGAAAGAATTCAGTAAGATATGGCATATGTATAACTTCCCTCCCATCAACTCCCATGAAGAATTGGATAACTATGCTAATTTCCAACACCAAAACACACAAAAGGATCCGCTCACGTACAAGCTCTGATATCCAAACAGACAACAATAAACTGTTCACATTTAAGGAGGTGGGAAGGCGATCAGAACTCTCACAAATAAAAAATCAGCAGGAGTTGATGGGATTACCACTCAAATGATTAAAGAGGGTTTCAAAGAGATTCCCCTGGCATTTGTGCACATTCTTAACACCTGCCTCATTTCCGGCTACTTCCCAAACAACTGGAAGATTGGGAACAAAGCTAATACCAAAGAAGACGAACCCAGATAGGCCAGACCATTATAGACCCATAAGTTGCCTCCCTGTGATGGGGAAACTTCTTGATGGACTTCTGATAAATCACATTCAATGGCACTTATATAGCAAAGGGAAACTAAATCCATACCAATTCGGATTCCAGCCTGGAAAGTCCACCACTGATGCTGGACTTCGTGTTAGGGACACGATCCACAATGCTTGGACTAAGAACAAACACACCATCCTCATCAGCATCGACTACCACAAGGCGTTCAACCATCTTTGGTGGCCGAGCGTCTTATACTGTCTCAAAGAGGCTGGTTGCCAAGAAACATTTACCATATGACGAAAGACTATCTTAGCAACAGAAAAATTATCTTCAAAACAAATAAGCTCTCTATAACTAAAAACATCAACAGAGGTTGTGCCCAGGGATCCAGAAGTGGACCTGGACTCTGGAACATGACTTTCGACGATCTCTTGTTCTCCACCAATACCAACGAGAATATTAAGATCCAGGCATTTGCCGATGATCTCCTTTTAATGGTTTCACACCAAAACTCTTCTTGCCTGGCCAACATTACCAACACCTGCCTCAAAGACATCTATCAAAGACATAACTGGAGTGAAAAAAACAAGCTACTGTTAAATTACGACAAGTGCATCACTATGGTTTGTACCAGAAGAAATAAGAAAAATAGGTTACATCGTCCACCAGGGATTTACATCAACGGCAAAAAAATAAAGAATGCTCAAGAAATCAAGTACCTCGGAATCTACTTTGACGAAAAACTCAACTGGCACTCCCATGTCCATAATATCTGTAGGCAAACGGTACAAAAGACCAATCTATTAAACTGGCTGTCGGCAAAACGTTGGAACCTTAACTACAAAAATAGTAGATTAATTTACAAAGCAGTGATCGAGCCTGCCATACTCTATGCTGTCCCAGTCTGGCAAGAAGCGCTTAAAACAACATATTTGCTGCAAGCTTGCCTCCACCTGGAGAAAATTCACCATTAGGATATGCAAAGCCTACAGATCGGCTCCTTCCAATGAACTTCTGGTCATGGCAGATCTTCCTCCTATTCACATCCAGGCAAAGCTTTTAAATTGGTATTGGCAAATGACTATTCCAGGTACCTTTCCCTGGCAGGATAACACTGCTACTCATAACTACATCTTTGCTGACCTCATTAAAGACAATACTTCGTTGGTCCACAGCATACATAAATATGGTGTAGACAGGACTCCGAAGAGGGACGAACACAGCCACCATCCAGCTGACGATCTAGGCTACACCATCGACTGGGACTTCCACAACATTCAAAATCTTAAGGCTAATTGGACCCTCTATACCTGTGGTTCTTAACCTGTGGTCCATGGACCACTGGTGGTCCCTGAAAGCACCTGAAGTGGTCCATGAAGTTATCCCAAAATTATTAAATAAATGACGACGAGTTGATGACAATGCGCGGTACGTCAATGTTAAAGCCGATAGCGGACTGGGCTGGGGTATGGTGTGTGGTCAGGAAATATGAAATTGGAAGGCACTAGCAATAAATTTGCATTTGAAGATAAAATCAGTGCGTTTATCGCTGTTGTATTCAGTGTTATGAAACTATATCCTCTACATTTAACTTTGTCTAGTTGGGCTGCAATTTGAAAAATTTGTACACCTATAAATTCCCACTGTCATCGGTCTGTCCTTCCTCAATCTCAAGAACGGAGTTAGATAGACAAAATTCGAAACCAGATATGGAAAGTTTAGGGGCAGGAGGCCCCAATTAACTATATACAAACTTCCAGTTTGCACAAAAGTCATGTTATTTCAATTCAAAAATTTTCCCCTGAAAGGAGTTAGATAGATGACCAGCATGACTATTGCAACAGGAAAGTATGATGTACAGCTGCAAGACACTACTAATTTGAGGTGAAAAGCATATATTTTAAATTAAATAAATTAAAAAATATGATAAAAAATTGCAGCCTGGCATTATTATGATGTCACAATAAATAATTGCTCATTCTGTAATTTTTTACATGGGTCCTTCAACTCAGACTGAAACTTTTGAAAAAATTATATTTATTTCTGTACATAATCCTCTTCCTACAGAGACATAGTCCTGGCATTTGATAATATCTAGACATAGCAGTATAAAAGATTTGTCAGCATATCTAAGCCAGGATTGGCTAGCCTCTTGAACAGCTTAGTTATTAGATAAATTGTGCCCAGCCAGAAGTCTTAGAGGCCAAAAAAGGTAAAAATTGCTAAGAGTGAAGTGCAGATCGTAAAGGGGATACGGCATCATCTCCCAGCTAGGTTCCTGGATTTTTTGGGTGGTCAAGTGGACCGTACGGAATAAGCATTCCTGCAAAAAATGGGATGTCTTTTTGTGATAAAACTAGGCTATTTCTACCATAGTGCCTTCTGCCTGTCTTTTGGAATGATCCCAGCTAGAATAATCATTTGCCAGCATGTGTCCCTCCTCAAAGACATTTGAATAATGCAAATGTTAACTGCAGCTAAGTGTTTCCTCATTGTACTAAGCTTGAAGCTACCAATTTCCACCAGTTTGATGCCTCCTCTAACAAGAAACTTCAATAATATGCTCCAATCTATTTGAGCATTCACTCTGTCATTTACCATCTTGGATATTTTTCTTCCATATCATTTAGCACACATGCTTGTGGATAATTGTGGATCCTTGGCTCACAATGCCACCAAAGACTTGGCAATCTTACTTTCATCATCATTTTTCTTTGGATTTAAAATTTTCAGTTATGCTCAAATGACCCCCATATATAATTCATTCAGAAATCTTTATCTTCACAAAACAATTATTTTTACAACTAATTGTTAAATTAGTTGTAAAAATAATTGTTAAATTTGTTATAAAGAATTGTTAAATTTGTTATAAAAAAACATACCTAACTGGAGATGACAGCCAAATCTGCCTATTGGGAGTCTGTCTATTGATGACATAGGTTCCTTGTTTGTCATTCAGAAATATTGTTAAAACACCAGACTGTTAAAAAAAAAAAACATTTGAGTCTTATTTCATACTTTCAAAATAAATATAAAATAGTTATAAATAATTGAAAAACCTATATGAAAATTTGTAATAATTGTAATTTTAAAATTGCTAGAGGAAAGTGTTAAGTTTTATGATAAAGGTAAATTCCATTATGTGACTTTTTTGTTCCTATGATGTGAAAAAATGAATGAGATATTAAAAATATTTTTTGTTTTGTCTTCTATTTGCAAATATTTGAAATACCATATTACAGAGATGTAGAATATTTTCAGGACTGAAAATTTCCCCAAAAATTAATGCATAATAGCATACGAAATATTTATTTTACATATACATGAAAAAGCCATTGGACAAAAAATTTCTGCCCTCCAAGTAACAGTTAACCCACAAATTAAGATAAAATAACACAAAGAGAAACAAACAGTATTAGTAATTAATAAAAGATTCATGACATATGCAGTAAAAATAATGACATAAAAAATAAAAACTAATATAAAGAATACAATATTAAAGTAAAATCCAACAAAGTATAAGTAGGTCATATATTGATCTTGAACTGGATTATTATAAATACTTAAAGACAAAAATAGGTTTGTTTTTTGTCTTTAAAGTATAAATAACCAAGATAATAGTAAATGCCAAGAAAAAATAAATAAATAAAAATAAAGCATATATGTAATACAAAAATGAGTTATGGGTTGTATAAGATACATTAACACATTTGTTTATAACATAAGAAGTCATAATGTAAAAAATTTTCAAGACCAAGTTTTCTGAATTTCAATAGAAGTATGATTTGTGAGACAAAGATAAACAATAAAAAGGTGTATGCAAGCGTGAATCATTACATGTTCTTGTTGCAAAAACTCTTAATTTTAGCCAAAAATTATAAATGAAATCATTAAAATATTTAAAACATAAAATACAATTGAAATATTTAATTCGTTCTTTAAGATCGGGCAATCCAAGTATGACTCTAGTAACTTCAGCATTGTTAGTATGTGGCAGATTACTGAATTTATTTATAACATTTTAAAATGAATATGATCTGATATGAATAAATTAATTATTAGTAGTTTGGAAAATTCATACCAAGCTAAAATCCAAAATCAAAGTTAGAGCAGATTATTTGTAAAATCAAAACCATTCACACTTTTCCAGTAAACAGATTTAACAAACAAATATACAAACATTTTCAGTTTATTTTATAAATCTGCTTCAGGTGATCAAAATTCCAAATTACACGATTCTAATTTGAATTTTGGTCACCCGTGGCTGGCAGATTTTAAAATAAACCGAAAATGTTTGTATATTTGTTTGTTAAACCTTGGAAGAGAGTGAATGGTTTTGATTTTACAAATTACAAATCAAATCATACAAATAATTAAACTAAGTGAAAAGACACATCTTGTATGTATCGTCTACTAAATTTTTTATTTTTTGTAAACTTAAAAATTTGTCCTGGCTAATTTTTATAAAATATATTCAAAAGTTAAACCTCTGTTTATAATTGTTTTCCTGCCAGAGCATGTATAATTATAACCTTGACGTAACAGAAATAAAATTGAAGTCATCACTGATAACATAAATGACTGTTTTTAGCACAGAGCCAAAAATAAATTTTTTAAGAAATTATTTAAGAAATGCACCAATTCTTGCAAAAAGATAAACTTTTTAAGATTTCTTGACTGACTTTTTCATTATTATTTTTTATTATTTACTTCCTTTTGTGAAAAAAGACCATTTGTTTTATAATACAGTAGAACCCTGTTAAGAAATTTTTGAAGAGACCACTCTAAAAAAACTTCTTAGCCAGAAAAACCTCTTATGCAGGAATTGTAAAAAAAACAATTTTTTTATCTGTATAGTCAATTTTATTTCAATATCAAAGTAATATAACATAGCATAGTAACATAGTAGAATAGTAACATAGTGTAACATAGTAGAATAGTAAGATGTACTAACTACAACAAGTGATGAAGTGACTGCTGTCAATATGATGTCAATAGTTAATGGACAATACCAGATAGGGAATAAGGTCAAAACAATAAGATCCCAGCTAAGTTAGCAACCACCTCAGGTGTGCAAGTGTTTCATATACAATATGGTAGCCATCTGGAGTTACTTTACTAAAACTACTATAAGTGATAAAGTTATGGTGAGGAAACAGACTACAAATTATCTCCAACATAAACTTCTTAAGTGGGTAAAATATCGTTGATGGGATATTTTGGAATTTCTTACATGGGAAAATTTGTTAAGCAGGAAATTTTAACATGCATCTTATGGCATAAATGCCAGGACCAGAGAAACTGGACTTCAAATGCAGGAACTTGTTAAACAGGTTCTACTGTATTTTAAAAATTATTTCAACATTTATAATAAATCTACAAAAAAATATAAAAAGTAAAAGAAAGTAATATTTATAAAACTTCTATTTAATCGAGATAATTCACTAAAGAGCACGACAAACTTTATTTAACATTAAATTTACTCTGTAATCTATCCCATACTTATTTGCACATCCCAAAGTCCAAACTAAGTCTCCGATCTTTAAAGAATGCATCAAATATTTTGACTAATTGCACCATCGTAAACATTTTAATGAAAATGTACAGATTGGCTACATTTATGAATTCCTCTATAAAACTTATGTAATATATCACGTGTTTTTACACCATTTTATATACTAAACATTTCTCAGATTATATTATTATTGCATCTCTTGTAAAATGATAAATTTTGAAAATTTACTACAGGAAGATTTTAGTTGTTTTAAATGTATTTGTAAACAAATCCTTTATAATTCTTAATGTTCAAAATTTTTGTCCTATTGTTATCTTACCAAATTTTTTCTTTTAAATGTTTGCTACTCACTTTCACACTTGTATTTTAATGTATTTGGGTTATACTGTTAAATAGAAGTGGAAATGTTGTCATGTACATGACATTTCCAATTGTATAAAAAAATAAAAATTTGGAAAGTTTTTAAATGCAATTTATTAATTTGCAAATTTTCTGTACAGAAAAAGGCGTGACCATTTTGTTTCAATTTGAACCAACATGAAATTTCATTCCATTAAATAGTATCGAAGAGAGTTTTGAAATAAAAAGAAATGTTCTTTTTTGGTTCTTTTCTAAAGCTCTTTGTAAAAATTGAAACTGTGGTTCAGAAAGAGAGACCAATTTGTCCTTATTGAAAACTCATAATTGTGTAAGCAAACAAACATGTAACACATCACCAAACTGATTGGAAATACAATAAATGTTTCAATTTCACTTTTACAACATTTTAACAAATTTCCCCAATTACTGTCTACAGGCTTAGCTGAGATGCTACTCTATTTTATTACAAGAATTTTGCAGCTATTACTGTAATATTATTTTTCCTATCACGAATGAACTGCTTTAATTTCCTCCAAACTTGTTTGCATGATCCGACATATTATAAAACCGTTATTACACCTCAGATATTATTCATCCACACTGTCATGTAGTCAGTACCTTATATAATATAAAAATCACTTATTTACCAAATTGTAAAATTTTGTTTTACTATAAATCTGCATTCAATTCCATAATATTCTTTGATGTATCTTGCAAGAAAAAACTTGTCTAAAGAATTTAGAATTCTCTTTTATGGGCGGAACCCTAGGGTTCCACCCATAAAAATAGTTGGGAATCCTTGCTCTAGTTTATTCTAAGCGGAAATTTAGTATTGTAATTTCTTATTACTTACAGAGAGAGAAACATCAGATTCCGGATATTTATTTTCGGCAAGAACGTCTTCAAAATATTCTGCTAAGGATTCTAATGTTTCATTGCACACTTCTTCATATTTTGCCAAGTCAAAATTACTATGGAAAGAGATAAATTATCATTTCTACTCTAATAAAAAAATATACAGCTACAAATTATTAAGTGTAAATTGTATTTTTTATTTATTTATATTTTAAAATATATAAAATCAATTCATCAAAAATAACTATAGGCCAGAGATTTGACTTTTTTGTTTGTCAACCCATTTCCAGACTATGTCCACTTTGCTAAACCCTTTCTAATGTTATTATAAAAAATAAATAAGACAAAGTTAAAAAAAAATCACATAAAAATGAATATATTTTTATAACTTCAGATATTCAACATATCTGAAGTTGAAAGTTTACTGTCATATAATCATCAAAAGTAACATTCAGTACTCTATCCACTTGTTCATTTCTTCATGCACTTGAATCGTTTTCTGCATTTCCCTTAGTTTGAGATCTTTGTTGGAAAAGCCAGTTATGAGAAAGCAGTTCTTCATTGTCTGTACCGTGACTTTTCTCCATGAGTATGCAAAATAACTTAATACCTTAAAGTTAAAAGTAAAAACTATGCACTCTGATTTTCAGTAAAAAAAATTAAATCTACTATACCAGTGTTTTTCAATCTTCTTGAATACACGACCCCTTTACAAGTTAAAAAATTCTAACAACCCCAGGGCCATATTAAAACTATATCAGTGATTTTAAAAACTACGTATTTAATTTTCTTTCTGTTGAGACCTACATATTGATCGAAAAACCAATTGTACTGTAAAATAAACAGGCACAGCCTTCTCACTGAAATTCTAGTTTTTTTTTTTTATTGTAGCGTAGGACCTACAAACACTTGTCTTTTTCTTTTACCCGCGACCCCCATGTAAGGCTTTGCAACCCCCCTGGGGGTCACGGCCCATAGGTTGAAAAACACTGTACTATACTAACTGTAAAATGTTGATTTTAGTTTATTTTCTCTTTTCTTCTCTCTCTTCAATAGCAGAATGTACAAGAACTTGTTTGTAGTTGTACTGAAAATTCTTTATAAAACGAAGATCTAATGACTGAAGAATGTTAATGTAGTTTGTATCGAGAGGATGTGCTGGACAGTGATCCAGAAACAGTACTATGTTATGATGTTATGTTATGATTTTGTTGTTTTAATTTGAAACCTTATGCTTTTAATCATTCTTCATACATTTTTATTTAATGTATATTCTGTAAGGGATTGTCCATATATGATGTCCACAAAGGAAGGGAGGGAGGGGATAAGAGAAATTGGATTGAGGAAGGGAGGGATTCAGCTTTAGTGGATGTCTGTTTATTTCATTAAATTTTATAGTTTATGCATTTTATTATATTTATTTCAAAATTTCTTGTGTGTTTTGTTTCTACTTACGTTATGTATCATTCATAAAGTGATAAAGGTTTTAAGAAAAGATCAAGTTTTGTTGGACATCCGATGAGGGGAGGGGTTATGGAAGCTTGGACAAACTGGGAAGGGAGGTAAAAATTTCCAGAAAAATGCATTTTTCTGGAAATTTTTACTTCCCCTCCCAGTAATTTATGGACAGCCCTACAGTGACAATATTATTAAACCATTGTGGCTTAGCAGGTTTACTTTTAATCAGTGGAATAAGTTTTTCTGTTGCATCACTGTTATGGCATGATAAAACAGTTGATCACTCTTACTCCTCCTTCCTCTGTGACATCTTTCTCCCCTTACAGAATGTATCATCAGATATCAAATTCTAAAAAACACCAATCTGGTTACAATTAAAAATATCACACAATTTATGTTTTTTTAAAAAACATGGCAAAATATCATTTATCCAATCCTGAATTATTTCAGCATTGACATTGAATTTTCTCCACAAACAGTTACATGTACTGTACTTGATATTCAGTTCCTTAAATCTTGTTGACTCATCCTGAAGAAACACAGACATCTTCTACTTCTAGCTGTTTAGCTTTTTTCCTGCTTTCTTGGTGAGCATTGAGTCATTTATTGCAAATGCTTTCAGTTCAAACAAATTTGAACTGCTGATTTAGTCCATATTCCACTCTAGTAAATTTACTTTCTGAACTCTGCTTCACTTTTTGTTTCAAGTACCCAAGTTTCGTGTGCTTGCTTCAATTTTTTGCACTGGCAACAAATGATATTGAGATAGATGCAGCAATACTTAACTCTAGCCACTTCCATATCAGATACCTTTGGATTTTCTTCTATTCTTCTAATAATTCCCAATTTTTCAGCCATACTTTTACAAATCATAGAATTCTACTACACAGTATAATGTGCAAGTGTGATACATTATAGTACTATAATACTAATAAATGTACCACATAAAACAGGCAGTAAGGAGGAATGTTCACAATAAAATAACTGTAATTACAAGGAGAAATATATGTTATAGTAGAACCCCACAATTTTCCAACTGATACATGATGAAGACAGAGAAACCTGTGGAATAGCTGAGAGTTTACAGTATGACATTACAAGACAATATATATGAGATCCTGAGGGAATATGTTGTGATGACATCCAGAAACTTTGACATAAGGATTAAAGAGCATATTTGCTACATGGACAATAACTTAGATTAAACAGCTTTGGCAGTTTCTGTATCATAGCCAAAAACAGAGGTCCAGTGAGAAAGGGCCACAATGATCCATCCAATATGCAATATCAAAGACTTAAAAATTCTATAACAAACTAAAATTTGTAAGTTCTCTTTCTTACAGGTTATTGTATTAATTTCAAAGATAGTAAAGATATTTCCAATGTCATGTAAGGTGTGTGTAACTCAAGTGACATGAGAGTAACCACATTAATATATTATTTGTGGGTTAATTTTACCTTACTTGTTTTAGATGTTTAAATATCTTGAATATATAATATTGTATTTTTCTGTAAAGGAAAGTTTAAGTTTTGTGATATTATTTTAAATTACAGAATGATTTAAGATTTCCTTTAAATTTATGATAGGAGCATGGAATGTTCCAGTTTACATTCTATGCAACAGCTGATTTTAAAGTTTTATAAAGTTCTTCATTTAGCTTCTTGTTTGGATTTGTATTAAATTATTTTTTCAGCAGCCTAAGAGTGATGTTTTTTCCCAAAACTTATGACGACTTCTGTATGTTACAACACTCTTTTTTTTATTCTTTTTAAGTACCTTTAACAAAATGCATTTTGGACTCATATCGTCCCCCTTCAGCTGTTATACAGTTGTTACATGTTAAACTGTACAAAACAAAGATACAAATAAATTCCCTATTTTAATAACAAAAATATTAATATATAAAGAATAAGATAAACTTACATTAAATATACATTTTTCTTTCAAATCTTCAAATACATTATTAAAATGAACAAGACATATACCATAAGATAAGCACACAGTTAAAGTATAAATAAAACACAAAGTGAAGAACTTTTACCTCACTTTTATCGGTACTTAAACATTATTGTAGGTTCCTGCCGGCTAAAAATTGATACCAAGAGAGATGTAATTGCATACCATCACTGTTATTAATTTTTATTTCTGAATTTAATTTTCTTATTTCAAAATGTTCAAGAATTTTCTTTTTAAATGTATTAGACTCCTTTTTAATTATTTTTAATGTATTTTTTTGAGTTTTGCTATCTTGGCTATTACAGTGGTGGGCTACTGCTGAAGTGTAATTGCAATCACTTTATCAACAATGGGAACTTCACACGCTTCACGGACTGGTTCTTCGTGCACAGGGCAAGACTAAGCGTAGTGGCCCTTCGCGGCCACAAGCGCTTCGGTAGCGATACCAAACGATGCAGGAAGTGCGGTTACATCAGAGAAACCCTTGCCCATGTGTTGTGCCACTGCCCGCCGAACTTCCACCTTATAACTCGGCGGCACAATGCAATACTTCAACGAATAGTCAAAGCATACAAACCGAAGGACTCAACAGTATACGTAAACCAGCGTGTTCCTGGCTTCGACGTGAATTGCAGACCGGACCTTGTGATAATACATGAACCCTCAAAGTCAGCGACTATCGTCGACGTTACGGTTCCATTTGAAAATGGTCCCACAGCCTTCCAAGCTGCACGCAATGAAAAAGTAAGTAAATATAACTCACTAGTTCAGCACCACCGACAGCAGGGTTACAATACCCACATCAGTGCATTCATCGTTGGAGCATTGGGAGGATATGACCACTCCAACAAAGAAACCCTCCAGCGCCTGGGCATTAGCAAAAAGTACTCGAAGTTAATGAAGCAGCTGATAGTCAGCGACACGATCCGCTGGAGCAATGACATCTATCGGCGCCACATTGGTCTACAGCAACAACACTAGTTGAACTCTCTACTACTAATTGTATATATTGGCTGGCACACGTGCCCATGTTTCGCGTAGTCTTCACCTCCCACCTTTGTATCACTTGGCTGGCATATGTGCCCCTGTTCCACGTTTACCCCTTATATGTGGTACTGCGTATACGCTCTTTCTACACAACGGCTGGCATACGTGCCCATGTCCGCGTGTCTTTTATCTTAACACTACTGTACATACTTTGGCTGGCTATGCGCCCATGTTCGCGTTACTCCGGTATCCAATCTGGGTACTTTGTTTTTTGTACTTTTTGCCTATATATACCTTTTTGTAAATTTTATAATTCCTAATAAAGGCTTTTTAAATCTATTATTTTTAATTGCTGTGATATGCTCTTTAAACTTTCTTGCTAATTATCTACCTGTTTCCTTTATATATATATTTTGCTCACAACTGCATTGAAATTTATAAATGATATTTTTAATATCCCAAATATTGTTATATTTTAAAATGTTAATTTACTTTTATAATATGAACAATTTTCTAATTTTCTTTAATATATCATCACTTCTCATCCAGATCAATAGAAATTTAAGCCAATAAATGTGAAATTTATCACTTTACAGAGAGCAAGATGACTTAAAACATTCTGCATACTATTACCATTGTAATGGCAATGATGATGATGATAATTTCATCAGAATATTACACGATGCTATCTTCTTTTAATGTGATGTGGCAAAACGTGCCTCAGAGTTGTTATCTGCATATATTAAAAAATGTAAATTACCCCTAAAAGACTGATCTGCATATAATCAAAACCATATAGTGTAAAAGTTTCCCATATATATAATATGCAAAGATAGGATTACCTTTCTTGGCAGAAGGTTCGAACATTTAAATTGTCTATCCATTTACGATGAGAAGAATAATTCTGAAAAAAATTTACGATTACTAAGGTTTGGGAATAGCAATCTTGAAAAATTTATTATTATGATTCCAAAATATTTTATATAAATATTTCAATAATCATATATTTTTTGTAATAGAAATATAAATTCATTTACATAATAAAGAAACAGCAAACTGCATAATGTCAGAGAGAGAAAATAAATCACTTAACAAATAAAATTATTGGCTAACAACATCTAGTAGTTCAGACTTTAAACTTAAGGCCACTTTGTACTTTGCAAAAATGGAAAAGATCATCTTTCTTCTCCATTCTAATGCTCTCTTCCCATAAACATCACACCTAAAAAAAAAACATGCACACACATTTGGCACTCTTAGTCAGATACAATTTTGAGGCTTTATTTTAGTCGTAAAATTCTTAGTCGACCACACACAATCCAGTTTCTTAGTTAGAGAAGAAGAGAGAACGAAGACTATTATAACATCATAAAAAAAATTAAGAAAGACGATCCCAAAGGGTACTTTTGATATTTCAATTAAGTTTTAAATATATAGAATTCATTGTTTAATCTAGCCCTTACCTCTCGGGCAAATCTGAAATATCGAATTTGTAAAGGCACCGTCGATTCGGATTCAATCGATTTAAAACACCACAAACAAAGGATAAATTGCAATTCACCAAAGATGATTCCACTCCGGTTCGAGTCACTGCAGCTTTAAATGCGGGACGGACAAAATGGAAAAGGACGACAACACAACACAAAGATAAGTACACCTTCTCCCGATTGTTCTCGCCGACCAAAAGAGAATGGAAGCGTCGTCTTCCCCATCCTTTCCGTTCTCGCAAAGTACAAACCCACCTCTAATCTGCGGGCGATTAAAACGCTTCGGAATCGACGTTCAAAGAAACGACGCCACGCCACCCCTTCCATCCCCCGAAACATTCCGCGCCATCGTCCAGGTAACATTTTCGTACTGTCCCCGCAGCCACGAAACTCTAAAGAACCACGATTCCGAGAATAATCTCTGCAAGTTCCGCGCACTAGGCCAAAACGTTCCCGAAGGTCGACCAAAACAGAAACCAAAACAATTTTTTAAAGATTCTCTCGGTCCTTTACCCACGGGAACCTCGCTACCGGTACATTTTATACATTTAGTAGACGGTTGAGTTTCGTTACATTCGACGGCAAATAACATCACACGGGCGATATACTTTACACGGCATTTATAATAGTCTTCCACAAGGATAAAGCACTGCTCGAATACTGCTTTAGAACGGTGTTTTTTACAAATTGTTCCGACCGTACGAAAGAGACCGGCAGCAAACATTTCGCACAAGATTCCTTCAAATGTTTCGTTTGTATTAACTTGCGGTAGAAGTTACTTTTAGGCAATTTGTGGGCGCAAGTAGGTTAAGATAATTATCTTCACTTCGGTAAGTTTCAAGCTCCGAACGAGGGGTTTTTCGACCCTTCGCTCCTATAGGTGTGCTCTACAATTCTGATAAGGTCCCAAACGTCTCATTCGGAGCTCGAATTCAGCCTAACTTCTACCGATAATATGTTAATTTTCGAAACTCTTGCAATTCTATGACTATTTCTAACGCTTTAAACAAACTCTCGCGCGATTTATCCGCTCGAAACGCAATACGTCGAATTTAAACGTCCTCGTATTATTAAATAAAATTATGTTCTTACTCGTTGGATTCGAACTCCTCCGTAACGATAAGAGAAACGACTGGATACGACGCGATAGCATCCAAATATTCTGCCAAGCACCATCCTTTCTGCACGCACGCCCTCTGCCGTGCCTAAATCACAAGACTCTATCTCCATTAATCGATGCGAATTAAACGGAATATTCTTGATAAATAACGTATAATCGACTTACAAGCGAAATGTATTTGTAATTATTTGAAAGTATTTATCGATATTTAAATGTCGTAAATGTGTAAAATTAAAAAAAAATTTCATCCGGGCGCTCCCGGGTGAAAACATGTTACGGGGAGATCTGGCAACATCAGAGAGAGAGGGGGACGTGCTAGAGTGACAGCCCTTGACTCGTATATAGGAGCGGTCCAGGAATGACCCAGAATAAAGCATTCGGAGTATTTCTGTCTCGCGGGGAGTTTTAAGTACATCACGAAGGGCGTGTAAACACACAATAAACCACTTAAAACATGGTGTCAAGGGTGGGATTCCCATTTATTTCAACTACTTCTTCCCACTGTTCACGCGTAACTTCGTTCAGCACAACGATTCTATCCAATAGATAATCTTCCTCCTCCGAGAAGACGGAGGAATTAGGGTTATCAAATTCATTTAATTTCTTCGCCTGACGTGCCGAAGAAAAATGGTTTTTCTTTTTGCATTTAAAACAAAATTTTCCAAAAGCTGGATACAGTAGAGCCTCGATTATCCGACCCCCTATCAACCGACCCCTCGGTTAACCGACCGTCCTAGTCGGCAAATTTCAAATGTCCGTTGGTCCCGGGATCCCGTTTCAGAAACCCTATACAGAACGATCTTGCTCGTTTTTCTCGACAATACCACATAAAATGACGTGTCCTGCTAGTAATACTTGTTCTCCTTCTATAAAATTTCTCGATGAACTGCTACAAGTAGCATATTTCATTAGATCAGATAGTAATATATAATTCATTTTACACTGACGACTAACAAACGACCCAGATAGAGTAGCCATTTTGTAAAAATATAGCGCCCTCTATAGTTCGTGAAAAACGCGAATTGATGTGGCGCTACAATATTTGGCTATGTCTCGGCTACTTTAATATTATTTTTACGTGTTTTAGCTGGCAACACTGGATCGACCATGAAAGGGAGCCAGTATTTAAACGAAGCTTAACTTTCTAATTTTTAACGATACAATAGCGACGATTATTATTTTAAAAAATTTTTGTTAGGCTTAACATCGATGAAAATTCAACGCAAAGTAGGTTAATAGCGATATACTAATATACTACACTAATAATGGATTTTTTCATACTTTTCGGTTATCCGCCCTTTCAATTATCCGACCAACCCCAGTCCCCAATTAGGTCGGATAATCGAGGCTCTACTGTAGTTTCCATACTCGTGTATAGATAGGCATTTATGGCATTTTTATTCTTAACGCTATTTTTATTAGTCATACGCGATTCGATTTTTTCGGTTTATCTTCTTGGAAACTGACTTTTCACCTTGCTCGCTGTTATTTCTGTCGCCCTGATTTTAGATAATTCGGACGCTCTTGCCACGTCAATTGCTTTGTCCAATGTTAATGACGGATCTCGCAGCATTTTTGTCTGATGCTATCGTCTCGTCTGCCTAAGATAATTCTGTCTCTTGTAAGAGATTCTGTTAGGGTGTGAAAGTCACATTCTTCAGCTTTTGTACGTAGCTCTGTTACAAATTCGCCTACCGTTTGCCAAGCGAGAAAAATACATATCTATGGCATTCTTAGAGGCTGGAAATGGTCCGTGAATTTAGCTAAGATTTCATTCACGTCGGATTCGTGGCATTTTCCTCCACGTGGGAATTATTGTATATTTCTAAGCCTTTCTCTCCGATAATGTGAAGCGGGATAGCTCTCTGCTGCGCAATACTTTTTGAAGATAAATCTATAGCCGTTGCGTAAATATCAAATCGTTGCTTCCATAAACTCCAATTTTCTGGATTTGACGTATCCGTGGGAAAATGTTCCGGATGAGTTAAATTATTCATCTCGCTTTTTAAATAAATTATACGGGGTGGGCCAACGAAAACGAAACGGCAGAGTTATCGTGTTCGTCCAAGCAAATCGTCGGACAGGTCGATTTTATTCTCAACGGGAAATATTTTTTTTCCTTGCATATGCGGTCCTGCTTAAAAGGTTTTTTTTAAATGTTTGTTAATAGTTTGTGTTACTTTTTTTCCAAAATAAGTGTTTGTTTAGTTAATAAAAAATGAACGAGTTTTTAAAATTTTTTGTTGTCTGTTGTATTATCGCAAAAACTTTATTGCAGAAGATGTCCCCCTTGAAAATAAAATCGACCTGTCCGAGCGATTTGCTCGGACGAACACGATAACTCTGTTGTTCTTACGGAACAAGGGTAGGGATTATCTCCGGCCTTTTGATCCTTGGCCGTACCACCACGCTTCTTCCAGGTGGGCGGAAACTCTGCTGGCAAAACTACGGACCGCTACGGCCCCTCTGAACAGTTTTCTTTTTTCGCGTGGTCTTGTCCCATCTCCAAATTGCTTGTTTTGTGGGGGGAAACAACCGAGCACTTCTGGCTAAGGTGCCCAAAGTATACAACGGCTCGTATGGAACTGGTGAAAAACCTCAGACTGAATTTACTGGCAGTACAGACGTTGTCGCCAATTTACTGGCCCCAGGCGGACGTGTCCACAGTGAACCACATCCGACTACTCGAACAGTACATTCAACGGACGGGCCGCTTTACCTAACAAAGAAGCGCCGCTTATCGGAGAAAAAGCAAACACAGGCTGTAATCTCCATATGAACGAGAGAGAGAGAGAGAGAAAGAAGAGAAAGAAAGAAGAGAAACTCTGTTGTTTCGTTTTCGATGGCCCACCCTGTATATTTAAAACCCCCCGCGAGACACGAATACACACACACTCTCAATACTTTATTCTGGGTCCTTTGTGGACCGGGCCATCTCCGTTCTTATACGTGAGTCAGGGCCGTCTGTCTTGCACGTCTTTCTTTCTCCCCGTAACAAAAGCTAGTCCCGTGCAGGTTACCATATGTGCGATTATTTCAGAAAATACGCCTTATTCCCGAATCAACCGTTAATGAAAAACTCCACTTCGCAATTATTACTTTTATAGGTATAGTATTACTTTTTATTGATTTTCGTGTTTTCCCTTCGCCCTGCTAGAGGACATCTAAAGCAAAGAGCAGTAGTTCCTTTAGTGGCATTAATACCATAATAGAAGGACTAGAAAATTCAATTTAAAAAATTATTCAGCATACAGTATATAGAAAACAAGTTTTTATGCTTGTCGTCCTTATTAAATCAAGATTAAATGAAATTTCATAAAAAAGACATGGTAAAGGAAATAAAAAGATGGACAATTGATAGCTTATAAGCTATTGGTAATTGTAAATCTCAAGAAGAATTAAATTCTGAAGTTTCTACTACTGAGATGATCAAGAGGGAGGTTTTCTAATTTATTTGAAAAATTCAAAAAAACTTTTTATTAATTTGAGGAAAATAGCTATGAAATATGTATTGATAAGTGCCCCAACATCTTCCGTTGAAAGTGAAAGAATTTTGAGCACTGAAGCCGGCAAGAAATAGGCTATGCCCCGAAAATGATGATATTCTCATGTTTTTGTATTACGATTCAAGGGTTTTACAGTTTGAATATAAAATTTTTATTAGTTTTATGTATTTAAAGTTTAAAGAGATACTTTAAATATCTTATAATATAACCTATAATATTTATTGATAAAATGAATAATTTACATTGAAATTTTTTATAGTATTCAGCTTGTCATATAATAAATAATAAATATATAACAGAAATCTATTATTTTTTATTACCGGCCTTATACTTAGCATTCTAACAGAAATATTAAAATGCAAAATTGGGCGATTATCGAAACCGATTAATAGGAAAAAATGGTCGATATTCGTATTCGTATTCATTAAAAGGAGTAGAGAGGTTGTCCATTTACAAACTGACTTTACCTCAATGGAAGTAGTAGTTGTGTAAGAAGGGGAAGAGATAGTGTTTAGGGAAGGATAGTAGATAGGGAAAGATCGAAGGTGAGTATGGAAACCGTGGGCGCCTGCATCGCCTTTATTAATAAACGAATGAAAATATAATAACGAATAACAATACGGGTAAAAATACATAAAATGTATAAAGCTTTACAAAATACAGTAATGGAGCGAGAAACATTGAATATACAGTACACAATGGTAAAAACTAATACTGTATATAGTTGTACAGTAGTAGTGACAACGCAGTTCATCAATAAACGTAGAGTATTATCCACAACTGATATAAAATAATTGGTACAATACTGATAAATGGTTACATAAAATTGAACAGGTATACAGTAGCTTATATGATAGTATTACATATTTATCGCTCGCCGCAGAGATGGACGTTTAATTAAACTGGTTTTTTGTAGAATTAATTGCCAATAATCTTGGTCCGGAGGCCGTAATAATGTAATAATAGGCTATTATACAGTATCTGCGCGCTTCCGTATCTTTGTACGGCCGACTGTTTTCTTCTCCGCGTATCCTAAACTCACCCTTTTCGTTATAGCGAATATCGTTTTCCTCGGTGTTACGAATTACTTTAGACGATTCGTCGGGAAGAGTCTATTCGTACCAACGCAAAAAATCAATAAAAGTAGAATAAAAAACATGCAAAACTTATTTTCGTAATCGAGTTACTTTTCTTTTTATATTACTTGCCCCGTAAATTCATAAATTACGTTTATTCCGTTGTTAATCCTAATCACTTTTACACTTTACGCTTCGCGGTCGTATAACGTAAAGAAAAGGAAAGTTACTTTTCTCGGAAATTAAAAAATAAAATAACACGTGATAGATTTCCGATATTACGTTTTTAATTGTAATGATAAAGTAAAAGCAACAATTCTTTACAATTATTATTCTCGAAGAGTTTTTGAATTTTAAAAAGTCAATCTTCAATTAACTTACGTCATTTTGCCTGTAAAGAATTGTCACGCGATCTTTCTAACGTCTATTCTCCCCGAAGAATCTACCCCAAACATCCTTTCGTCACCGGTTATAACTTCTCAGTCTACTTGTATAAATCTTTATATGCAAATCATTTACTCGCAATTTAATTAAACCCAATTAATGTAGTGGCGCTTGTATTTCGTCTTCTTTTTACGACGGGGAAAACGTAACTTTCTTTACCGAAATTCGTCAATTATCGGAAAAAAATTCTGGTTTGAAAAGATTTCCCGCAAAGAGTACGTAACGGCTCGGCAGTTAAACTTTCGGAACTTATACCGGCCTAACCGTGGAATATTACTTCGGCAAGTAAGCGGGATTAGACTAATTATTATTAATTACTTAGAATTTTTATAATTGTTTTAATAATTGTGGTCCCATTTACTTATCCCTTCCGGCGTTATCGGACGGTAATCGTAAAAGAAACCGACGATCATCGTTAGACAAATATAAATATGTAAATATATAACAGTTGGAAATAAATTGCAGAATATTTTATAAATATTCCGACGGACGATGGATGCATCCGACATAATTTTAACCGTTACAAATCATTTCTTTTCAAGCTCCGCCGTTACTCATTTCCGGCAGTTGGCATTGCGGAGCGGGAACACGGAACATTCCTCCTATCGATATATTACGAAATGCCCAAAGTGACAAAGAAAAGTTTCCCGCTTAAACTTTTCGTACAAGAGTTTGTTACGTTTTTGGTAAACGGAAAAGATTTTATCGCAGAATTACGCGAGGAAAGGTAATTTTATTATTTGGAATACAGTCGACCCCCTATAACACTGTTGATAATTTCGTTTTATATGAATTCCATGTTGTACGAGTCACTTAGATTTTACAAATACGTGAGCCGTTCACAGCCCGGTACATGTATTTGTAAAATCTAAGTGACTCGTACAACATGGAATTCATATAAAATGAAATTATCAACAATGTTATAGGGGGGTCGACTTGTATTTTGAATATTTCATTCGGAAAATATAATTACGCGTTTTGTGTCGAGATTTCCAGTTTCGTCGGATTTACTCCGTTAATTTTTTTGTTTAACAACGAAAATATTACACAGCGTTATTTCGTTCGAAATTGTCCTACATTTATCCCCGACTCAATTGAGTTATTTCTGAAATGGAAAAAAAAATTAGAAGGGAATTTAGAAATCCTACTAAATACAGAAATATAAAAATTTAATGGATTAAAAATATAAACATTTTCGAATTGCAAAAGAAAGGAAAACACAAAAAAATAGAATTTCCTGTTAAACGGATTTCAGAGTGGCGATATCGATAAGAAGTAACATCCTCCGGTACAACAGAACAAAGGAAAGCATACGATCGCGGGCAGCACTTTTAATTAAATGAGTAAGTTTTTCTTTTTGAATCCCGACTTTCGACCGTTTTAATTTTCATTTTGTCTCTTATACAATATTTATCCACAGATTTCGTTCTGGTATTCGTCATCCTTTCGATTTTCCACCAATTAACGAGTGAGTGAAGTTTTCCTCTCTATTATTATTTATTAAATGTAAATGACCAGTCGTCGACTAAAAGTTACGTTTCCGGGTAGAATTATCGGATAGATGCGAAATTCTGCATCGCGACGTGTCCCGGAGTTTGCCAGACCCGCGGCAAAAGTCCACATCGAAATATCGAACTGGAAACTGACGGTCCTTTAATTCTCGACTTCGCCGACCATTTAGGCTAGGCGGAGATACATTCCAATAACATTATAAAGGAAAATTTCTTCGCCCGCCATTAACAATAACAAACCGATAATTCATAATAGTTAAATTTATATTTTGTATTCATCAAAATATTTAACAGATATGGATCCGTTCGAGAAGTTTTTTCCTTTGATATTCGAACACAGGTCTCGGCGCGAGAGAAATCCTTATAATGGTTAAAGCCTTCGCTGTCTAAGTTTTATGTCCGGTGTTTTTTGGTCTGTCCGCGGCGTATTTATTAATAAAAAATCGCGTTCGACAGCCGCATCGGATGGCGGCAGTGCGACTTACAAACAAAACCTAACTAGGTATTTTGTGTTCTCGGCATTTATCCTACTTTGAAAAATGAGCCAGCATTTCACAGAATTTTTCACTGATACTTTGATTCTTCAGTTTACTCCATACTTCAAATTTACTTTCATAATATTTTTCGAATATGCTAACTCGTAAGTCCTGTTCGTTCACGGTAAAATTTAATGACACTTTCTTCGAGAATATGTAGCTTTCTTGTATATTCTTCTAAGCCATAAGCTCTTTTCTCTTCAAACTGGTTCAATCCGTAGACCGGAGAGGAACGAGAAATAATGTACTGTACATCACTCCTGAATATATTCCATGCAAATATCGTAGAAATCTATGACATAAGTTTGAAAACGTCCTTGTTTTTCTAATACTTACAACTGATTTCTCTCGGTAGTAGCGAAAACTTTTCTTCTTTCCTGCAATTTCGGTAGATCTTCGCTTTTATAATAAACGTGACCGATTATATCCGGCAAAAATTTGCTAATTTTAGTTTCGTATTGTAGCTCTTGTTACTTATTAACTGAAGATACAGTATATAGATAGGCAACCTGCGGCAGTCTGCTCAGCATTACGTATCGCACGTGCGGGACAAGCAATGCCATTTAAATTGTTCGTAGTGTTTTCTCGAATTTCGAAGTACAGATTATTCTTTTCCGTTTCCTTCTTTCCACCGAAGTTTGTATTTGTATTATCTGCCGATATAATTATAACCTTTCCAAGGAGATGTAACTTCTATAATCGTTTTTCCATTTCGCATTTAAGAAATGACTTATTCTTCTGCTGGAAAACCGACTTCAAGCAGCACTTATACGTTTTTCGTTTTTACGCCATCGACTAGGTCTGACCGACCACCGCGTGAAATGCAAAATGTAAATTGAACATTTCATCCGCACCTTTACCGACGGAAATTCTTTTGTAATATGATCATTTACACTGCATTTTCGTTTCAGCATTACGTCAAAAAAGAAAAACGATAAAAATTATAACAATCTCGGGAAAAACGGGACAAATGGAACACTAGCTTAGAGCAGTATCGTTCAGCATACGGACAGGCACGTAAACGAGTAAATTTATGGTTCCTCGCGTGTCAAATAGTGCCGCCAGAATGGAATGTCTTAAAATCGATACTCGGGTATCCCTAAAAAGACTTTCGGAGGATCTTGGTCTTCGGAACTTTCGGCGTTCTCGTTGTTTGGAAGTCTTCAAAGCGCAATGACACGCGGCTGGCGTGACGGTCCTCCGATTATAACAGAATTGACACTATGGACATCCTGCACCCACGGGTGGTGCTCTCTAGGGCAACCAATCAAGTGTGGCCACGTGACGGAGACGTTCCTGGAACTACGCCCCAAACTTAATCTCGCTATAGGCCGTTCGAACCTTTCTCTTTGTCGTATTTCGGGAATTTGTAGGATGAGACGGGAGGCAGTTTCCATATCTACAGGAAAACCCGTTGCGAGATAGGGTACGGTGCACGCCTGCCCACGCCTAACAGCGTGGCTTCGCATACGCACGCAAGAGGAGAGTTTATAAGGTATTAAAGGTAACATTAAATTGCATCCTTATTACGCGGAAAATTATTTCTTTGCTGCGATATTATCATCGCTTATTGCATTTTTTAACTCTCCGCGTGCGAATTACCGAACCGTTTTTTAGCAGCTGGTTATAGGCCCACATTGCGGACATTGCGAGGAGGGTCCGAAGTATCCGGAAAGAAAAATTCCTAGAGAGTACATATTAATTTTAAAATATATTCGTCGGGCAACCGACAACACCATGCATCGTTTTAATATAGTTAAGCTTTCTGTTAGCTTAACTATATTAAACCTTTGTTAATGTGGTTAATTTGTGTCTTTCGTACGGAATTAGCCGATGCCAAGGAAGCGGCGTGTCCGGGCAACTTCCAAAAAGTGGAGGAGCGGTGTTTGGCCACGTTTCGCCGAGCGGAAACCTGGGAACGAGCGTACAACGTGTGCAGAAACCAGAACGGTTACCTGTTACACCTGGAAGGAATGAATTTCGACGCCGTCAGCAAGTACGCCGGTAAGTGAAGGCGCCGAGCAGATTCGGCCTTCGACCACGGATATTTCAATCCTTATTCTCTACACCGCAGAGGACGAGAAAGTGGACGAGATTCACCTGGGAATCAAGTGGAGAAAAAATAATTATTTATCGCAGGAGGGAAGTCCTAAAGTTTTCAAGTAAGTTTATCAAATTAATTTTTCCTCGGTAATGGAAATCGAGCAGAAAAACAAATATTCTTGCAGCCAAACGGGATTTTACGCCAAAGAAAAGTTTAAGTGGAAGGACGAGAAATTCGCGGGAGGTTGCCTGTCGTTCAGATTTTCGACCCGGGAGTTGGACGACGTGTCTTGCAGTCGTCATCGATCCGCTTTCATCTGTCGGTGGGAAAACGAGACGAAAACTCGTAAGGGTTTTATTTTAATTCCGTTTTAATCCGCGGTTTATCTTAACCACTGACGGTTGGCGTTTCCAAAGCCTTACTCTGCGACCCAGACTGGACCTATTCCTACCTTTCCGGCAGTTGTCTTAAAGAGGTCGATGTCTCCGGGTCTTCGCACCACGATTGCCGAGGTCGATTCTTCCGCCCGGAGAGTCGGGATTGGCCCGTGTCATCCTGGAAATTGGACCGAAGTGACCGGAACGATAGCCGAGGTTAGTGGACGTTTATTATTCTTTAAATTGTAAATAATCCCCGGGATCGCGCGATTTATTCATTCTCCCCGGTGAAAAGTTCTTACGGATAATTTTTAAAAGCAAATTTCGGCAGTCGACGATTAGACAAATATTGGCGACGAATTTTGCTGGTAAATTTTGTCAATTCTACGTTTAATATTAATAATACATTTAAAAACTCTTTTATTCGAAGCACGGGGTGAAACTCCCGACGATTGCGTGGAAAATTACTCGAACGATGGCACGATCGGGCAAAACTGCTCCCGGAAGAATGGTTATTTTTGCGAAAAGGAAGCCAAGAAAATCGGTAAGTCGTCCCGGCAGAAAATTCGGCAAAGTACGTTAATCTAAGAATAATTGTTTTCTTTCGAGCAGAGATAAAAGCCGCGATAAAACCCGGCCACAAAGTACTGGCTTCTTTCAAACAATACGCCAATTTGATCTTCTCCATGGACGTGGAGGTGAGGATCGACGGAAAGAAGTACGATTACTGGGAATTAACGGACGTCGTCTGGTGGAAGAACGATTATCCCGCTTTGTACGGAAACACTACTTACCGCCCTTATTATCGCGTAGGGAGCATTCTGTCCATCGCCACCCATTATTATTATTCGTTTAAATTACCCGGTAATCCTTACGTCGTATTTTCCGACAATGCGGACATTTCGGCTTCGGGTAAGTGCCTGGTTTCCTATACGACGGAAGCTTCCTTTATCGTAAATTATGCTTAATTAATAAATTTCTTAAATATTTATTGATTCAAAATAAAGTTAAAGGTAAAATTTCTTCCACATTTTCCTGAAAACGAAAGTACTATACCGTATATATAATTTCCGAGAAAGGAACCGGGAGAATTGCCTGTTTATCTCTTCTACTCGACAATTATTTTCTGTATTATGTAATGTCTTTATTATTTTTACACCGAAAGTCGATAACGCGAAAAGATAGTTTAAAATAATCATAATTAGCCGAAGTCGGCGAAACTTGGATGGCAATAAGCAAAATTTTCTAACGTATGAATTTGGGGCCCGCTAATGCCGATATCGCCGGCCAATCGGTGACTGTATCCTCGATTACAACTTTCGGATTCTATCGTATTTGTATGTCGTTCCCGATAAGACAGTAAAAAGGATGACGTGGAGTTATTACAAGGTACACAATGTTGAAACATTCAAATCCTTTACGTATATAATATAAATATAAGTATGATGTATGCTATAATCCAGTTTTGTTAGTAAGATACAATACAAGAATCGATGATACGGTACGAACCGTACCAGGGTGAACGAATCTCGTGGCAATAGGAACCACTGTTTATCGGAAATTTTCCGGTGCAAAAGACGGACAGAAAAGTAAATAAATTCTTAAATACGATAAGAGATTAAACGCATTTGGTCTTTTGCACCGGTTACGGCGAAGAGAGAGCTTGATATTCTGGGAGGGATTTCACCTTACTGTAGATTTAATTCAATTGTTTCGAAAAAGTTCCTTGGAAATAATAAGTTTTCCATTTAAATTAAAATTTTCTTCATGCGTTTTATTTTCTTTTTTTAACGCAAATCTTACTTGTTCACATAATTTTCGTTTTTAGAACTCTCCACCTACCTTTTAACCTTGACGATTCCAAGCATCTATTCAAACGAAAGCGTACAAGACGAAATAAGAATGATATATAAAGAACTGGATTCGAATCAAAACGTAACTTCCATGATTAAAGCCTTTAAGAGAAAAAATAAGAGTGGTCAAATCGGCTGGAGACTTACGAACGTGGCGTAAGTTTCTGACGAGTAAACTTTTCCTCCGGTTCGAGTTAACTAATTCTCTTCACTGGTTTATAGCAAGAAGGACGATAAAATTGTGGTGGACATCGTGCTCCTTTTCCCGTATTTAAAGGACGAAGAAAACGAAAAGGAAAGAATTCTGCTTTCGTTGCAGAAATTCATAAATAATTCCGGCACTAAATATTTCCGAAAGTGGGAAGTCGACAGTTTCAAACTGACATTTTCGGGTATGAATCGACTTATTTGTCGGCAGGAATTAGTTTACGCAGTTACGGTCGATTTAATTTTTCCTCTCAGGTCGATGCTTCAGAGAAGAACGTCGATTCAATAATACGAATTTCACCTGGAACGACACTTATTATTCTCAATCGGCGGTATCTTCTCCTCCCTGTTTAACCGGTAAGTATCAATAGTTTCCCGTTAAATTCTCCGGTGGAGTTTCACCGAATTTCTTTCTATTTAGATAAGTGGGAACTGGTGACCAGGAAGTGCCGAGGAGAATATGCCAAAGAATCGAAATGGGAGGACTTCGACTACTCCAAATGCCTTCGGTCTAATCAGTTTTCAGGTAGAAGCGTTAAACCGGGACGTGCTAGGTTCCCACCCAATGATCTGACCGTGATTTATCTTTAGCCAATCCGCCCCCTCGCCGATGCGCGCCGGGATACGCCGCCTGGAAATTCAACCTGTGTCTGCGACAATACCGAGAGGAATTAAACTGGTCGGATGCGGTCGAAAAATGCGGCAAAAACGGCGGATACTTATTTTCTCCCCGCATCGAAGCTAATAATCGGGTGAAGGATTTCGACTTCTTTTCCGAACCGGGTGAATATAAATTGCGGGAATTCGTCAGCACAAAAATTGTAACATTTCGCTGGAAAACTAAACTGATGTCATTTCCTCAGAAAGGCGGAAGGAAGTGTGGCTGGGAGGACGCCGAAATGCCGGCCAGTTTCAGTGGATGGCGTTTTATCCCGAAACCATAAACGCGTAAGATTTGCCAATTATCGCTTTAATTATATTGGTAAGTTCTAATTTTCCCACGCCTTAACAGAAGCGGCGCCATGACATTTCGTTGGGAGAAAGGACAACCCGCGCCGGGCAACGACTGTCTGAGCGGAGTAATTGGCCGGCGGGAAATTCTTCTGTACAGCCGACGGTGCCGGGAGAAACGGCCTTTCTGGTGCATGCATAAAGAGTTCGGTGAAGAACAATTATGTAAGTAGAGCTAAATAACTATATTTAAATATAATGGCGGAAAAGTAGCCCGACGTAATTTAACAATGTGACGTAGCCTATAATTGTCCCGACGGTTGGAAAAGCTTGCCTTGGCTGGGGAAGTGTTACCGGCTGATGGAAATAAAAACGAATTGGAGGCGATGGCGAGAGTATTGCGAAAAACAAGGAGGAAGATTGGCCACCCTCGAGCTCCCCGAAGTCAATACCTTGGTTAAAAGTTTAATATTGGAGCGTAACCATACAAGTAAGTAGCCACATCCGGTGATTAACTCCTTCGGGTATTTGGTAACGACGCGCGCTTTCTCCAAGATTCCGGCTGGTGGATCGGACTTCGGAGATCGGACGAAGGACTTATTTGGGAGGACGAAGGCGAAACCGTTCGGTACGTGAATTGGGCGGCGGATACGGATTTCGGGCCGAATTACACGGCCGGATTAGTGAAGGTCGAAGGTTCCGGCGTTTTCTGGTCTCTGGACGATCCAGAAAAAGATCACTTTGGCATCTGCCAATCGACGGTCGAAGGTACTGTATGACCGCGAGAGGAGTCGCGTCGCCCAATTATTTAAATTTAAAAGAGTAACTTTTGTAGATTCAAGAGTTTCCTGCGAAATAATCGTTGTTTCCGAAGGTGTATTCAAATGCCTTCCTAGTAAAAGTTATTACAAAAGTGTCACGTGGTATAAAGATGGCGTTATCGTCAACGGAACGCGAGGATTGATGACCGGCGGCGACGAATATTTAACCGTACGAAATTTACTTTCTACAAATACGAGCTTAGCCCGGGGTCGACTCCAGGGCTATTATTGGTGCCTGGTGGATCAGAAGCGACCTTTCGTCTCCGTCGCTTCGCCCCGGATACTTTTCACCTTCAAAAGTAAGAAGATTAACGTTTCTCTCTTGTACAATTGTTAATTAAGACGATTAATTAAATACGCTTTAGACGTGTGGACGTTCGTCGGCGAGTTCGATTCTTCTATGGACTTTCTTCGATTAGATCCGAGCACGGAGGAATATTTTATTCGATGTCGGAACATCGGCGAAAAGATCGAAAAAGCTTTAACTTCCGTCGGACAGACTGCCGTACACGTACATCGACTATCGGAGACAAAGTGAGTGTGTATTTATATATACTTATATTACCTAACGGTTGTAACCATTGATTACCGCCTCAATTGCAGAGGTAAAATAAAAGTAAACTTTTTCATCTACACACGCTCTTCGAGTAAGAAGAGAGAAACAAAAGTGGACGAAAATAAAGAGAAGTTATTACACGAACTGCAGAACGGAATGACCCGTAGTTCCAGTTTATTATCGGAATTGAAAATATCGCCGGAAAGTATTCGAATTAAAAATACAGGTAGGTCGTTTAGTAATTGACGGCATTTGACTTTTACGCGTACGTAATCTTATATCGAAAGCCTCCAAATAACAAATGATTTAATTCGGAATTGATAAAGAACCGTAAATTTTCCTTTCCAGACGGTTGCTTTACGACGACAACGGAGGCGGGCGACAGAAACGTAACTTGGCCTAGAAAAAATGTCGGTGAAATCGCTTTACCCCTAGAAGACTGCGTGACAGGTAAAGCTTACGTTTACGCTCTCGTACTCGTTGTAGCGCTACTAAATGCTATTATTTTTTGATAATTAGACAGAGGCGATCCCGTGGTTAGAAGGTGTTTGGGAAATTTCACTTACGGCGCTTATTGGGGTCCCGTGGACGGAAAATGCCGGGGAGAACTCTCCGACCTCACTCTACGATTGAAAGAATTATCTACGGTAAGTAAGCGCTGCCAATTCTTATTTCTTTTTAAATACAATAAATTAAAGAATTTTATATACAATAAATAATTGTAAATATCCAATTTTACTCGAAATAAGAAAAGTAATTTTTTTTAATTGGAGAGAAATTTCGTGACAATTCAACCCGCCGAATTCCCTTTCTCCCATTCTCCCGCGGAGTGGGAACCCATCCCTCCCACTCTCGTTTTCTTTTCTGAATCCCCTCCCGATTGCTTGGTTTTTTCTCTCTATGACAAAATAAAGTTAAATTCTATAAAAACTTACTCCGGGTTATTCGCATCTTTGTT